CACTACCAGGATGTAATGTCTAGTGAATAGCCATCAGTTTTCTTATTTTTTGGTCCAAATTGTCCAGTTGAACTTGACTCTTGTATCAGCGGTGTATCTTGTTATAGGAATGGCCCAGACACTGATGGCTTCGGTGGTGTTTCCACCATTCTATTTTGTCTTTCTTATTCATTTCTAGAACTTTCTTCTTGTTAATTGTATTGTGGTTATACTATAATATACCATTGTCTAAATACAGTTAATAGAAAAGCAAGTTATAAATGACACTTAAATATTTTACTAAGGAGGTATATATTTAGGTTTAGAGCAGTGGTTCTCAATCTGTGGGTCAGGACCCCATTTGGGGTCGAACGACCATTTCACGGGGGTCACCAAACAATGCAGTCCACCATTTTTTCCCCCTTTTCCTTAGCTGTGCTACTTCCTTTTATTCTATTGGCTTTTGAAAGCCAGTAGAATAAACTCTCTTGAATAGAGTCTAATTCTATCGGCTTTCAAAAGCCAATAGGAATTGTCCAGGCTGTCTCTGCCCTGCTGAGCCCGCCAAAAGTCCCATTCTGCAAACGGTGCTGTACCAGTTGAGTAGTCCTTGACTTATGACTGGTTGAGTAGTCCTCGACTTACGACCAGTTGGGGGTCGCGGCATTAAAAAGGTTGAGAACCACTGGTTTAGAGCCATCCAGCAATATCTGACCTGCCACTAACTTCTGACTGATTTTTTTCAAGATCACTTGCAGGGTAGGATATCCTTTTCTACCACTGTAGAAAAGTGCATTCATAAGACTTTTTGATTTAACTCAAGATACAAATATCCTGAACAAGTGGCTTAGCAATATGATGTAATATATACAGTAGGATGGTAAAAGAAAATCTACTGTAAGATAGTTTTCAAATGGAAACTTTGCAAAGCCATAGGTGATAGTATTGCAAAGTCTTGCCACCACTTTGTTTGCATAGCAAGCTAATTCAAGCATCAATTTACAAATGATATTTTCTATTTAGCTCATTTGTGGTCAAGTCACATGGATGAGCTAGCTGTGAGAATTATTCTTGGTGAAAAAATGCAAATATTTATTGCCTTTGATTCAACACTCAAGCCTCTCTCAGAAATCTGTAAGAAAGATGAAGTTGTGCAATCTTCAGTGCATGACTGATTGCTCATATATTTTATACCATCTTCCTTCAGTTCATCATTCAATCAGTCAAGCCAAAGTATTTCTTTTGAGTAGCATAACATGCTATATTTTCCACTCTGTGCCATCTCCAAATAAGGACTTAATCAACTCCTTGTACTAGAGCTATGATGTCAGATTTGTGAGACCTCATGCTGTTGATATGCTTTCACTAGGAAGTAAGTTGAACTATAAATAAACTGTACATATCTCATGAGAGATTCTACTGACTCAACCATTAACTGTCGATAATACTAGTTACAAAGAATTTTTTTTCTGATTAGGAAAATTTCCATATAGTAAATGTTTACTGATGCTGATTTCTTTATCAAGAAAAGAAATACAGGTAGCCCTCAATTTACAACAGTTCATTTAATGAACGCTCAGTTACAATAGCCCTGAAAAAAGTGACTCATGACCATTTTTTACTCTTATGACTGCTGCAGCGTCCCCATGGTCATGTGATCAAAATCCAGACACTTAGCAACTGATTCATATTTATGATGGTTGCAGTATCCCGGAGTCATGTGATCCTCACCTTTTGCTAATTTCTGATGTAAAATGTCGCAAAATGGGGCAAAATTCATTTAACAAATGTGTCACTTTACAACAGAGATTTTTGGGCTCAATTGTGGTCATAGGTTGAGGACTACCTGTAGAATCACCCCATATGATGCCTGATCATCTAGTCTGGCTCTTTGCACTGAATTGGAATCCTTTGCAAACAACATAGCTTATCTGTTTAGCTGATGTCCAAGTGTGTCCAAAGATATTTTTAAAATTGTTTCAAGCATTATTCACATAGGGCAGAATAAGCAATGAATTACTTTCTAGAAAATGGAAGGATTTCCCAGTTTTATATCTGAATGAATTGGTAGATGGACTGATGGAAAATAAAACAACCAGTGCTTTCTAGTCTTGATGGCTTTATATTACTTTTAATATTGGAAGCAATATGACTTTCGCTGGAGAACCCAGCCATAAAGATGCTTAAGTTCTGCTTTGAGGCTTCTGCATTTCATTATTGAATCAGAATATTATTAATAGAATAAGAAGGAAAACCCCCCTTTTTAAAGTGATCAGTGCATATAAGTTTCATTTTTGTAAGCATGGGTGAGATTAAGGTATTGAAATAGCAAAGATTACTTGATGAGAAGGGGAATACAAATGCATTTTCTTGATATTTAACATATAGAATTCTGTGGGATTTTTATAACACGCGCAGTGTTCCAACTAAGCAATTACTAGTCTAAACAACAGCAAAAATAGGAAACGGTGGCACCCATGCAGAAAGAGTCAGCAGTTTTAAGCCAAACAGAGTGGGTATCATCAATTTTACAGTCCATAAAATTTGTATTATTTAGAAAAGCTTTTGCAAATTTTAGCAAATTTTTGCAATTCTTGATTTAACATAGTATGTATCTTTAAAAATTCTCACTGAGCAAAATATATTTTAATAGATCAGGAATATATATTTTTAATTACTGTTATTAATGAATTCTTTTGGAGTGTCAACTAGGGAGTAAACTTTTTTACATAAGCCATTTGCAATGCACCTCTTTTTACCTTTACATTCTTGAAACTAAGAACGATGAATGGAGATTGGGAGAACTAGATTGTCTATTTACTCTTGAGAAAAGAGGATGAACGTGAGATACAGTCTTCACTTACCTAAAGATATGTCACCTTAAAGAGAGCCAGGCCCTATTTCTACCATCCTAGAGTGCAGAAGAATTTTTAAGAAACAGGAAAGCAAATTCTAGTTAAATCTATGGGAAAATGGCCTAACTGTAAGAATGCGTCAATAGCATACTAATTACCTAGCAAATTGATGGGCTCCCTTTCACTAACTATCTTCAAACAAAAGCTGGATAAATATTGGCTGTGAAGGCTTTAAATGGGATTCCTGCAGTGAGTGTAATGACCTCAATGGCCTTTTCCAACTTTTTAATAAGGGTACTCTGAACATACTGATTTAAATCAAGACTATATAATCTGTGAACTCTGTGATCGTTTTGACAAAATTTGGCTACCAAATGGTCAGTTTTTAAAACCACAAGTTAAAAATAAATTATAAGTGGCAATAGAACCAAGTGTTCTGAAAAGTAAATAACCTCCGTTCCCATCCATATAACCTGACAGTCTCATCCCCTCACACCTGGTTTGTGGTTATTGTTTGAGTGCAGAGGAGAAGGGTTATGGTTATCAGTGGATAGTGGTTTGCATCCCAGAGGCCTCCCACTTCCATTACCACCTTAGCCTCACTAGATACAAAAAGAAGCTAGAAGAAAGTAGAATTGAACCTTCAGGAACATCAAAGTGGTTTTCTGTAGTTTTCAAGGAGGTTGGGAAGCAATGTTGTCCAACCTTCTTTTAAATAATAAAGGTACGTGGAATAGCTACAACCTTCTAGTTGTCTTAAAGAAGGCTGGATGTATCTATTATATATTGAGAAATTTGATTGTGTTGGGTGAAACAGGAATAGATCGATAGGCTTTACTTATTTCTTTAGGCATCTTCATTTTCTTCTCTTTGATAGCTTAAAAAGGTCTAGCTTGGCCATTGGACTAATACACAGGCTGGTTCTCTCAAGGATGGGTATCAGTGTAGTCACATTGGCTGTTAACCTGAACGCTTATAGGCACCATAAAGAGTATTTTTCCACAAACGGGGGTATTGTTACTCACAGGCAGGGGGAACAACGTAATATTAGTTTCCCATACACATAAGAATTCTTAATGGAAAGTTCATTTATGGCATTGAGAAAGTTAAGGAATGAAATACAAGTAGTCCTTGACTTACTACCATAATTGAGCCGGGAATTTTGGTTGTTAAGTCATGATAGTCGTAAATCCAGGTACTGATGTGACTGCATCAGATTTTATTACAGTTTTTATGGTGATCATTAATGAATCACATGCTTATAAGTACAAATCCATTCTCCGGAATGGTTTTTGTGTTTGTGTGTATGGAAACTAGCAAAAAACATCACAAATCATGGTCTCGAGACTGCAGGCTGTTGTAACCAGTCATAAATGTGAGTTAGTTGCCAAATGTCTGAACTGCAATCATGTGGCCATGAGGACATAACATCTGGATAAGTGGTAAAGTACCCTTTCCAAGACTGTTATAACTGGTCCAAAGTTGAGGAGGTTCTCTGTTTTTTGGCTATTCCTGAAACGATTTGAGAAGGCTAAGATCATAGACAAACTCTTTTACATAAAGAACTGGTGTGAATCTTTTTTTTTAAAAAAATGATCCCGTGCACATTTCAAAATAGCTACTTCATTTGGTCAAAATAATAATAATACCCTGAAGGTGCTAAGCAACTTATATTAGAACAAATTATTCTCGCATAAAATAGATTGCAGTCTTTATACCAAAGTCTGCAATAGGCAAACCCCATTTTCTAAATTGCAGGAGTGTAACCCTTAAGGACTTCTTAAATAGGCTTAGAGAGAATTTGGTAAGTGATTTGTACATTGCAGATGTATGATGTTTTTCTTCCAGAATAGAAATGGGGACAGATAATGGGAAGCAATACTAAAGAAATTAGACATTTGAGAACAGTGTTGATTCTCATTTTTCCTGGTTTTCCCCCAAATGGCAATTTTTTTAATTGCAGAGGCATATCTTTGAGGGGGAGGAGAAATCTAGAAAAGCTTTCCTGCTAGGTTGGGTTATTTATTTTTTTTGTGCTAGACCCTTTGAAATCTGGTAAAGTAACTGCTTTGTTGGATTGACAAAAATCTATAAATAAATGTGGGCAGCACAATTGTTCTTCTGCTTCTCTTATGTTATTCTTTATCCTTTTCTTCTTTTTAACAGCATATCCTATTCGGTGCACGTCTCTGAGGATTACCCAGGTAAAGTGTGACTTTCTATGCTGCTGACAGTAAAAGAGGTTTCATGTTCCATTACTGTGCCCTAGGATCACCTTCCTGATAATCACATTTCATTAGCCACCTCATTTGCACCCTTTATTTTCTCTTTTTTAGCCTTCCTTTTTTTTTTTTTTAAGTAGGGTGAGAATGTAAGAATTCAGTGCATCTGGGAAAGAATGTGGTTTGCCTGGTTTTTTTAAAAAAGCTTTTATATAAATAGCTGATGTGTATCAGGCTTTTATATGTATATATAAAACCTCACAGAGGGGGAAGGGGGAAAACCAAAAAAGATGTTTTTGGCTTTCAGCTATTGCTGATGGGATAATGTGCTAGCTGTAACTAAAGCATGTGTCTTTGAAGAAAAGGGAATTTCTCATCTTCATGGATTGTTAAAACTAAAACTGCCTTGTAATTTCTTAGTCGTTTTCTTGCCTTTCAAAAGAGGCATCTGTTTTTCTGCCTTCTATCTTAGAGTGATCCCTTAACTCCCATTTGCTTTTGTTTTTGAGATTCCTTCCTTGTTGGAGATGGTAAAAGATGCTCTTCCTTGCAACACTTTTTTGGTTGTTGGAGACGTTTCCCTCACTCTATTCCATGTTTTCTGGGCTGAAATACCTCAGTGGGAGAAATTTCCTTGAAATGATTTTCCTGGAGATTGAATTGAATTGGTCAATGGGTTATCCAAGGGGGTCTAGGACAACTCCCTACAGCCAACTCATCACGGGACAATTCATCATGGCCAACTCACCATGGGACAACTTTTGAAAAAATGAAGAATTAAAGAAAGGATGCAAAAGGAGGGATGAAATGTGAATGACAGAAACTAAAATAATTTAATTATTTCTAAACAATTAAACAAAAATTGGCTGTTGTGAGGTGTCCTATTCTGTATCCAAGGTAAAATAAAGGACTTAATGTAGTCGAGGACTTACTTGGGCTTCGGTAAAAAAACACAAGAACATCACACTCCTCCCATCAGAATGTTCTTCAAAGTCTTTTGTTTTGTTTTGTTTTGAGAGAGAGAGAGAGAGAGAGAGAGAGAGAGAGAGAGAGAGAGAGAGAGAGAGAGAGAGAGAGAAATGTATGTAGCAATTTCCATCTAATTGAATGAGAATGAGTGGGAAACAATGCCCAGCACCATTTGAAAGTTCATGGGCCAAAGGCTTGACATCAAGTAAGGAAGCCTTTGCATGTCAAGTCTCCCCCTCCATGTGTGTTTGTGTTATTGTCACTAGGACATGAAGGCCCTGAAGGCTCTTCTGAGATTTGCAGTATAGCTGCATTATTGTATATAATGAGATGTTGGCAAATTTATTCCTCATCTTTCCTCCCTTTAGGAAAGAGAAAGTTCAGATTGTTTAAATAGTTTACCAAATTTGTCTAAGTGATGATTAAATAATAGTGGGACTAAGAGGTCATTATGCTTGGTTTTCTTTTGATGGGTACAGGAAAAAGTATAGTTCAGTAGAGATTAAATATCAGATATTATGGCACCAAGAACAGATCTGTAGTAATGTGAGCCTTCCTACATCCAACATCCTCTGCCAAATGATTCTCCTGTTCAGTCTAGTCCCTCAATAAATATTTAGTCAAAAGCTAACTGATCATATTAAACAGATCAATAATGAATAATTCTTCCCAAAATGACATCTTTATTAGAGTAGGGGTACTGATTTATCAAGAATAGGCTTTAGAAAACATATGAAATAGATTTAGAGTTATCCAAGTATCCAAGTATCTCAAATCAGCTGAAAATTATACCTAGGAAGAAGAATAAATGCATTAAATTAATAGGCACCAAATTTGGATTTTCTTAATGCTGCAGATGGGCAAATGATAGCCATCAATTTTGTGATGGACAGCTCTATAAATCATTCAAATAAACATACAGCTAAAATAACCATACCCTTAGAACACATACTATCTATATCATTATCACTGCAAGTAAAAATAGGGAGACACACATGTGTTTCTATACATGCATGTAAAATGGACGTGTATTGTATGTTGTCCTGTGAATATAGTCAGGATAGGTTGCAAAATGATGGTGCTCTCTGCCTCTGCTAAAAATTGAGGCGCAGCAATTCCATATCACTGTTTGATGAGAGTGACTTCTGCAGAATGGGGATCACTTTGCTTTATCCCCATTGAAGAGATTTCTGGCAAAGCCTTTCAGTCATTTCCACAGCCACCAATCCCTTCTTCCAACACACACTGGAGGCATATTCTAGAATTCTTATTGCATCTCTTCCTGAATATATGCTTGATAAAGAAGCCAATGTTAAAAAAAATTAAAAAAAAGCTTTCCAATACACAGTGCAAAGATTAAAAGTTCCATTACTGGGAATCAATACAATATACAACACAATGACTCCTTTAGGAGACATTATAGTTTAAGGAGTATGTTCCAATGAGTAACAGCATGAAGTAATGGCTAGCCAATGAATAGTCTGTCTGAGCTTACTGAATTACAAAGAAGAATTGTTCAGTACTTTTCAAATTTGAGAACTTTAAGATGTGCGGACTTCAATTCCCAAAATTCCCCAGCCAGTGTTCTGGGAATTGAAGTCCACCCTCATTAAAAATTGCCAGGTTTGAGACACTGAGCTATAACAAAGCCTACTCAGCTTTCTACCTCCCACAATGGAGCCCTGATTGATCGGTCCCTGGTTGGGGTGGAAGTGGATACAACTTCTTTAACAACCAGGTTCAAATGATTAATAATGGCCACTTGCCCACCACTGGTCACGACCTCATGGAGATGAGATAAAGTAAATAAAAGGTAATCAGCATCTTTGGAGTTTTTTTTCAGCCTACTGAAGAGTTAAGCAAATTAATGGTTGCCAAATGAAAGAGAAATAGGCTAGGAAAAAGCATGTTCTGGTTTCCAAATGGGACTGAAAATCAATTTGCAGTTAAAAAAATAGTTTAAGGCCTTGACTAAGTGGGTTATGGATTACAGCCTAGACCCATAAAACAGATTATTGAGTACATTTTTATTATTAATTCATCAGAGGCAAGGCAACACTTGCCCTTTTGACTCTGGCTTATTAATGCTGTGCCTCGGTCTGGTCTCCATGAAACCTATGAATATTGATATTTTTTCGTTGCTTGCATTTTGTATCTTGTCACTTCAAGATTTAAAGGCTTCTGTGTAAGTTAAATATAGTGTTTTCTTTGTCTTATTGCAGATAACACCTATGTGTCCAGCTCAGATAATGATGAAGATGTACTAGTTACAACAGAGCCAATTCCAGTAATTTTCCACCGAATTTCCACAGGTGATATCTTATATCATCTAATTTATTACACTGGGCAGAATGTGGCATGTTTCTCCTACAACTGGACTATACCCAACTTTACCAGCAGATGTTTCTGAAGCCAAGGAAATTATGTTCAATATTTCTTAAGGCTGATGAAGGCAGAAGAGATAACACCTAATGCCACAGTAAAAATGAATTGTAAAACTACAGAACTATCAACAATCTTTTGTTTCCCTTATATATCAGTTCTCAGTCAACGCTAAGAGATCTCAGAGTTGTAATCTTAATAGATCTGGAGGACAACAGATTGGGGAAAGCATGTTAACTATTCTTTGTGCCCATTGTTTTGTATGATTTACAAAAAGACCAAATTTATGTATTCCTATGCTGTAGCAAGGCACATGCTACCTATTGGCAGATGTGGCTTAGAAAAAGCTTAAGAATAAATAGAACAACTGGAAACAGAAAATTATCATTAGAACCTCACACTCTGCTAGATTCTTAGAACATTTTCTGATCTGCATAGAATGGACTACCTGAAAAGATGATTAATATTGTGATGGCTAAAATTACATATTTTAATTTTTTATAGGCAACATCATTAAGTATGTTACCAAACATGGTCGGATTGAGGATGGAAATGTGGGCAAATTTTTCCTATCTACTTGGCCAGGATGTAGACATAGCTTTTCTCCAGCAGGATGACTGTAGAGTCCAAATGGATGGGTTCTATGACGGCCTTCCTGCCTGGCAGACTGGGTAAAAACTTCGGCCACACCCCTTCCTTTGGGCGTGACCCCAGTTTTGACTCAGTCTCGAAGCCTGGTAGAAGTGCGAGAAGCAGCTCTCAGAACAAAACTAACTTAACTTAAAAAAAAAAAAAAAAAAAAAAAAAAAGGGAATCCCCTCTTCCTCCAGTTGAACGAAAATTTGTCTGGCAGCGGATAGGACTCGAGAGAGGCAGCCGGGATCGGCGGATTCGTGAGTGGGGCGTCAGGGACTAACGGGAGGCTTGGAGCCGGACCGGATCGCTCGCCCGCCGATAACCGGCCCACCGAGCAGCTGTTGGGGCGGGGGTTTCACTACCGGATTGCTCGCCGCTCTCCGGGGCCGCCAAACAGCTGAGCGGTTCGGGCGATAGAACGAGGCGCCGCTCAGCGCCAAACAGCTGAGCCGCGCGGAAAGCGTGATTGGGGCCGATAGAACGAGGCGCCGCTCAGCGCGAAACAGCTGAGCCGCGCGGAAAGCGGCTAAACCGCGGCGCCGCTCGGCATAGACCAGCGGAGCGGCGCGAGAGCCTCAGAGTCAAAGATCCGCCATTGTTTGAACCTCGTGGATTCCCGGGCTAACATTAGGAGGCGTGGTTTCTTCCCCATTCGCCATTTTGAGCGAACGGACCTTCCCGCCGTTTTCCCTTGGGGGCGGGGCCATCCGGACTCCATTCCCTTGCAGACAAAGGGGCAGCCCTTAAGCTAAAATCCGGGATTATCGCAAGAAACTGAGACAGGAGGAAGGAAGAGGGAAAAGGAAGAGAACCCTTTCTGATCGTGGTCTGCTGCCACAGCCACAGACAGGGGGAGAGAGAGGTATAAACTGCACTTTCTCTGGACTAAGTGAGGAGGTGAGGAGGAGTATTTTTCTCTGACTGTTCCTATAGTGACCTTTAGTCACTGCCTTGCAGGATCTTCTGTCCAAAGACTCCTGTCTGTCCGGCCATTGTTTGTATAGGCAGAGGAGGGCTCAGCCCCAAACATCTGCATCTGATCTGCGTATCCTGTCCCCCACTCCAGGCACTACCTACTCGGGGTGTCTGGCACAATGGCAGACAATGTCTCGTATTCAGTCACACAGGTCCCTCAATTGTCCCCCCCACAGCAACAACAAAAACGCAGATCTTCTGAATCTGAGGTGGGGGGGAAGAAGAAAGCTAAAACAAAACACCTTTCTCAGAAGGGACAGTCTAAAACGGCTGAGCGAGAGGCTTTGAGGAGACATTTGGCTTTAGAAAGACAAATTAGCAGGGCACAGAGAACCAATGCCAATGGGACAAATTCGGTTTCCCCTGTCCCAGCGGTGGCACCCAGCACAGACCCTACTGCCGAGGAAGTGCTTAAGACTTGGTCTCCTCCTGGGGAAACTGAACAGTTAGACTCCTCCAACCCCTCCTCACCAGCTTCTTCACCCGACCGCACCCCAGCGCCTCACTCTAACGACAAAGCGCAGGAGGGCATTTGGTCGGCACAATTCCATGCATTCATGCAGGATGCATTCTCCCAGTTCATGGCTTCTAAGGGACAAGTGGCCTTTCACACACCCCGTAAGGGTCGGGCTAGGCCACCCCCTACCAGCACCTCTGAAACTTCCTCTCAACTGGGAGAGGGTGACTCAGTGGACCTCGACATGTCAGACATGCCCCTCTCGGAGGACGAGGAGACGGCACCTGAGCAGGCAACGAGCTCTGGACTCTTTAACCCAGCGCTCCTAAAATCACTCCTGGTAAAGGCTGTTTCCACAGTCAACCTAACATCAGTACAGGATGAGAAGCCCTCAACAAGCAAGGAGGCCAATCCTCTGTTTGCCAAAAAGGTTCCACAAGATAAGTACATCCCATGTGCGGAGGTCTTCAGGACCACGCTGGAGGAACAATGGTCCTCACTTGCAAGCCCACCGGCACCAAACAGCGCGGAAAGAAAGCTTTTCAATCTATCTCCCTCCTTCTCTAACATGTTAGAGGTTCCCACTGTCGATAACCCATTAATCTCATTATTTTCTACCTCCGCGATTCCAGGAGACATGGCGGAGGTCTTGAGGCCTGAGGAGAAGAAATTTGAACACTCACTCCGGCGTTCCCATATGGCTGCAGCCTGGGCGGCCAGAGCAGCCACTTCCTCATCTTTCTTCGCGAGGGCCAGCATCATGTGGCTGAGGGAACTGCAAGGCACGGTGCCTCCAGACCAGGTCAGAATACACCAAACATTGGCCAAGCTCCTCGCGGCCTCGCAATTTGTCTCAGACGCTTCACTGTACGCAACAAAGTATGCGGCTAGATCCATTGCGGCCACAGTGGCCTCACGTAGGCTACTATGGCTCAAAAATTGGAAGACAGACCTGAGGTCCAAATGGCGTCTTTCGACGTCCAAATACAGTGGAGTAGACCTATTTGGTTCCATTCTGGACCCACATGTCAGCGAAGGCAGAGACAAGAAAAAAATCCTAGTACACCCATCAAAGAAGTTAGACAGGAGAGGCAGTCAGGACTTCCGGAGACAGGGTTCCCGCCCAGGAAGCCCCTGGGAATGGAGGCAGCCCTTTCGATCAGGGCAATCCTGGGACTGGCCCAGAGGCTCACGATCCTTCTACCCCAGACAGGATCGAACCCAGGATCGCCAGAGCCCGGGAGCCAGGGGCCAGTTCCAGTCCAGACGCCCATATAGGGGAGCGGGAGGCAGATCCTTTAAACGCACCAAGTGACGCCAAACAGGATACTCCCATTGGGGGTCGGTTAGGAAATTTCATCAGGGTCTGGGAGCAGACCACGACCGACTCCTGGGTCCTGGAAACGATCAGACATGGCCTGACCTTAGACTTCTGCTCTCCCCCACCAAACCGGTTCATCAGATGTCCCATCTCCAGAAGAGCACACAAGACGAGGCTGATAACTTCGGCTATAGTCCACCTCCTGTCAATTCAGGCCATAGAGAAGGTACCAAAGGAGGAGGAGGGAAGAGGATTTTACTCTATCCTCTTCGTCATCCCAAAGACATCAGGAGGGTGGAGAGCAATCTTGGACCTGAAGGGCCTGAACTATTTCATAAAGTACAGGAGGTTCAAGATGCACTCCTTAAAGTCCATACTAGCCAGCGTCAGGGAAGACGATCTACTATCCTCAATAGATCTCACAGAGGCGTACCTACACATCCCCATCCACCCCAGCTACCGGAAATTCCTCAGATTTACCTACGCGGGGCGACATTACCAATACAGGGCATTACCCTTCGGACTGTCGTCAGCACCAAGGGTATTCACAAAGATCTTAGCTGTACTAGCGGCCCATCTCAGGTTGATTCCGGTTCGCGTCCAGTTTTATCTGGACGACATCTTGATTCAGTCCAGATCTCGGGAACAAGCAAGGACAGATCTCAAGACCACAATCCGAACCCTACAGGGGCACGGATTTTCGGTCAATCTAAACAAGAGCCACCTCATTCCCTCAAGGAGACTGCAACACCTGGGCGCGGTGATAGACACGTCACAGTGCAGGGTATTCCTTTCCCAGGAGCGACTGATCAGCATATCCAAGCTAATCCACCAAATTCAAAAGATCAGGAGAGTGCCCTTGCTACAACTCTCGAAGCTCCTGGGGAAGATGATATCTTGCATGGGCATCATCCCATGGGCAAGGCTCCACTCGAGGGAGTTGCAGTGGTTCCTCCTACCCTACCAGAGGAGGAACCTCAGCACCTCCAACAGGAGTGTGCTGGTACCAGCACAGGTGATGAAATCACTAAAATGGTGGCTATCCCCCATGACACTCAAGGGGAGCATATTCAGGGAACCGAACAGGGTCACGCTCACGACAGATGCGAGCCTGTTCGGATGGGGAGCCCATCTGGGGACCCAGATAGCACAGGGCCAGTGGGGTCAAAAGGACCTGTCACACAGCATCAACTGGCTAGAGCTCCGGGCCATACACCTGGCCCTCCGTCATTTCTCACACCTAGTAACGAGGAGACACGTCCTCGTGCTTACAGACAATGTAGCAGCCAAGGCACATGTAAACAAGGAGGGAGGAACGAGATCAGTGGAACTAATGAAAGAAGCATTGGTTCTGGCTCGGTGGGCAGAAGCCAATGTGAGTTCCATCAGAGCGGAACACATCTCAGGGGAAACAAACACCCAGGCGGACTCCCTGAGCAGAGCCAAGGTGGACCAGTCGGAATGGCGTCTGGACCCGGCTCTCTTCGAGGAGATCTCCCGGAGGTTCGGACAACCGCACCTAGATCTATTTGCCAACCACAAGAATACACAACTCCCCAGGTTCTTCTCCAGATTCCCGTCCCCGGGATCGGAGGGAACGGATGCTCTCAGGTGCCGGTGGCCGGCGCAACTCCTGTACGCCTTCCCACCGCTGCCACTAATACCGGCAACCATACGCAAGATGATCCTGGAGGGCGCAGAAATGGTCTGCATTGCCCCTCACTGGCCACGGCGCCCGTGGTTTGCCGACCTCGTGGACCTTTCGATATCACCTCCGTGGAGGATTCCCCCGGACAGGGTAAAACTCAGTCAGGGCAAGCTTGTACACCCAGATCCCCAGTGGCTACAACTAGCCGCTTGGCATTTGAGCGGCAAAGCTTAACTAAACAATCTTATTCTGCAGGGGTGATATCGATCATACAGGCATCACGAAGGGCGTCCACCAATAGGATTTACGACGCTACATGGAAGGGATTCTGCAGGTGGTGCGCTTCGCTTCACCTAGACCCGACCGCAGTATCTATCCCCAATATCCTAGACTACCTATTGGAGGGTCTTAATAGGGGCCTGTCAGTCAATACCATCCGCAGACAGATTTCGGCCCTCTCAACCGTACTCTCCTGCGACAACTTAACTTCCCTAGCACAACATCCAGCGATTAATGCCTTCTTAAAAGGGGCGTCTAACACAAAGCCCCCAGTCATACACAGGTACCCGTCCTGGAACCTGCCTAGGGTCCTTCTAGCCTTGACATCTGCACCCTTCGAACCTCTTGAAACATGCTCACTCCATCACCTATCACTGAAGGTAGCTTTCCTTGTGGCAATTACTTCGGCAAGGAGAATTTCAGAACTAGCAGCTCTGTCAGTAAGGAAGGATCTGTGTACCTTTTTCAAAGACAGGGTCGTTCTTAGACCAGACCCGACCTTCATCCCGAAGGTAAATAGCACCTTTCACAGATCTCAGGAACTTACGCTTCCTGATTTCTGTCCAAGACCCAAACATAAGCTAGAACACAGATGGCACAAGCTAGACGTACGGAGAGCACTGTGTTTCTACGTGAAACGCACCTCGGCTTTCCGAAAGACTGAAGCATTATTTGTGTCCTTTCAACCATCAACTATGGGAAAGAAGGTATCTTCTTCCACCATAGGCAGGTGGATCAGAGCCTGCATAGCGCAGGCCTACGTCTCACAGGATTTGCCAGCACCCACTCAGGTGACTGCCCACTCAACTCGGAGCGCAGCCACATCTGCGGCGTGGCTAACGCAAGCTCCGGTGGAAGAGATTTGCAGGGCCGCAACCTGGTCCTCACCTTCGGTTTTCATTCGACACTACCGTTTAGACTCCCTAGCAGCAGCAGACGCGGCTTTTGGCAGAAGAGTTCTTCAACAGGTCGTATCTGCTCAGAGTTCGGTAGCCTAGACATTCCCTCCCAGGGGGACATGAGGGCTTTGGTATGTCCCATCCATTTGGACTCTACAGTCATCCTGCTGGAGAAGGGGCGTTGTCTTACCTGAACGCCTTTTCTCAGCAGGATGATGTAGAGTCCAAGCCCACCCAGAGGATAGGTCTAGGCAGGGATATAATAAAGATATAATAAAGAGCTGCAAGGTTAATTCCAACAAAGTTTCTCGCCTAAGTCAAAACTGGGGTCACGCCCAAAGGAAGGGGTGTGGCCGAAGTTTTTACCCAGTCTGCCAGGCAGGAAGGCCGTCATAGAACCCATCCATTTGGACTCTACATCATCCTGCTGAGAAAAGGCGTTCAGGTAAGACAACGCCCCTTCACTTTTTTCTTTTCTAAGCTTGCCTAACTTAGCACTTAGTTTTTTTGTTGTTGGGGGTGATGTTGTCTCCTCCCTTTTAAAGTACCACCATTATTTGGTAATTTCCAAGGGGTGCCTCTGTGGGCTGTAATCAGAGGCAGCAACAATATGCAGTAGAAGCAGAGACCTCAGAGGCTCTGAAGGTTTCCCCAGAGACCATAGCTGGACACTCTTTTTGTCTTTTCACATCTTCCTTTTAGCTTGTGGAGGAATGAGGGTCAAGAAGAGGCACATCATACCCAAGCTGAAAAGTCCAGATGATTATTATATGAGCTAGAGTTGTTTTTTCTTCTGCTGCTGCTAAGAAACTGGACATTTTCTGAGAAAGGTGGATGGGTGCAGAAGCTCAAACTGGAGTGGGAAAGACATGCTTTCAGTGCCCAAGGAAAGGAGGGGGACACCTTCATGGGATGTAGGATGTGGGGAAAACAAATGAGGGCATGGTTCTCCTCATTTTCTCTGCCCTCAACTAAGCCGTACTTATGTCCCTGCTTCCTCCCCCCAAAAATATATCAAATTTAATAATGTAAGTCACTAAAACATCAAACCTTGACTGGATTGTTGAGAAGTACCTTTTTTAGTTATCCATATATGAGCATACATTTAGACTTCATCTTCCTCTTTCAAGATAATGGCTTCAAAGAAATGCAGCATCCTTATAATAGAGCAGTCCTTTGATCACTTACTTACAGATGCTAAATGATGCTAAATGAAGCTAAATGATTTCAGACAACTCAGTCTATCCCCAATAAACATAGACTGTGATCTTTATACATACAAGCTTATTTATTTTATTTGGACTTCTTATCAAGAGTGATCTAGTGGTTACAGCATCATGCTAGAAAACAAGAGTTGATGAGTTCAAGACTTGCTTTGGCATGAAAGCCAGCTGGGCGACTTTGAGCCAGTCATTTTGTCTCAGCCTAACTCACCTCACAAAGTTATTGTGGGGAAAATAGGAAGAGGAAGGTGGGTTCAATATGTTCTCTGCCTTGAGTTATTTGTAAAAATAATGGGATGCAAGTAAATAAATAACCAGTATTTTGTGCATAAATAAAAGGTCATGTTACATTTCTTTAATTTAACTCTTACATGAATGGGAGTTAAAATATGCATCTCAGATGAGATTGCAACTTTTCTTAGAAGTATTTTGTTTTAATAGCACTGTTAGCAGAAAATGGGCAAACAAAAGGAGAGATTTGCAAAAATACAAGATGAAAATTTTTGTTAGGACAACTGACATGCACTTCTAATGAAAATGCTTCTGAAAACATTTTCTGGCTAGATCATTGGAACCTTCTTTGTTGTGACATTATAAATACACTGTCACACAGATCATCATTTGACCCAATATGTATCTAACGTCCCAGTGCAAGAATGTAAAGGTGCTTATGAATAACAAGTATCTAATAACAAGTACACATTTAAAAAAATGTTTTAACCTGCTAATTTTAATCATTTTTTCATATTTTTCTTTAGAATTGCGAAAAACCAATGATGTCAACTGTTGTTTATTTATAAAGTCAAAATTACAAAGAGAAAATGGAGAGGTACAGTATATTTTTAAAAAATTGATAATACTTGTTTCCAAGTGCCAGGTCAAAAAGGAAAATAACACCGGGGAAATGTTCTTCCAAGATACAGGTGGTCCTCAAATTACAATCAGTCACTTAGTGACCATTTAAAGTTCTGGCCCACCCACAAAAGATACTTCCTTAAAGGAATTTAGATCTGGTTCCAAAGCTCCAATGTCTGCCCCCTCCAGGCCCCATAGTCACATGACTACAAGCATCCTGTATTTAGAACTGTTTGCATTATGCCACGGTCATGTGACCACAATTTACAATGTTTTTTTGCTGAAAACTGTCAATTGTTTCTGGTTTTCTCCAGCAGGATGGCTGTAGAGTCCAATGGATGGGTTCTATGACAGCCTTCCTGCCTGGCAGACTGGGTAAAAACTTTGGCCACACCCCTTCCTCTGGGCATGACCCCAGTTTTGACTCAGTCTCGAAGCCTGGTAGAAGTGCAAGAGCAGCTCTTGAGAAAGAAAGGAAATTCCACAAAGAGAAAAACCTCCTCTTCCAGTTTTTTTTTTCTTGTTTTGTTGGTATTAGCAAGCAGGGATCTCTGGCAGCTGATTAGGACCTAGACGGACTCCCAACCAGGATTGCCGGAGTGGTGAGAAGGTCGTCAGGGCGGCTAGCCAAGGGGGGGGCTCGGGCCGGTCACCGGTTTCCCCACAGATTCCCCAAGCAGCTGTTTGGCGCGGGGACATTTTCCGGATCGCTCGCCGTTCTCCGGCCCGCCGAGCAAGCTGAGGGCACGGGGACCGCACTCCGTCCGGATTGAGCAGCCGGGACGCCGCTCAGCACCAAGCAGCTGAGCGGCGCGGGGAATACCAACCCGGCGATCAACAGAGCCGCTGCGCCGCTCGCTCTTGATCAGCTGAGCAGCGCGAGAAACAAGGCGCGCACTAACCGGCCGGCAGAGCCTCAGCGCCGTTCCCCCCCCCCCGGGAGAGGTGCAGCCCCTTAAGGCCAAAAGGCCACTTTAAGCCGGTAATTACCCTATTGCTGGCTAGTAGAGATCCGCCATTGCTGGAGCCTCGTGGCTCTCCTGACTACTGTTGGGAGGCGGGGCTTCCTCCCATTCGCCATTTTAAACGAGCGGTTAGCCTGCCGTTTTTTCCTTTGTGGGTGGGCCTACCATCCGGAGCTCATTTCCCTGCATATAGAGAAAGGAATTTTCGGTGCAAGTTGCCCGACAGAGGTTACATTAACACAGTGGGGCAAAAGAGGGGAAGAGGAATAAAAGAAGAGACCTGCTATCAGTTCTGATCGTGGTCTGCTACCACAGCCACAGATGGGGGAAAAAACGTATTAACCAGATTGAGTCTGGACCTCAGTGAGGAGGGGAGGAGGAATATTTTTATCTGACTGTTTCTATTGTGACCTTTAGTCACCGCCTTACAGGATCTTCTGGTCCAAAAGATTCTGTCAGTCCGGCCATTGTTTATCTGTGCAGAGGAGGACTTTTAGTCCCAATTATCTGCTACTGATCTGCGTAACCTAATTCCCCACTCCAGGTATTGCCTACTCGGGGTACCTGGCACAATGGCAGACAATGTCTCGTATTCAGTCACACAGGTCCCTCAATTGTCCCCCCCACAGCAGCAACAAAAGCGCAGATCCTCTGAAACAGAGGTGGGGGGGAAGAAGAAGACTAAAACAAAGCACCTTACTCAGAAGGGACAATCTAAAACGGCTGAGCGAGAGGCTTTGAGGAGACATTTGGCTTTAGAAAGACAAATTAGCAGGGCACAGAGAACCGATTCCAATGGGACAAGTATGGTTTCCCCTGTCCCAGTGGTGACTCCCATCTCAGAGCCTACTGCCCAGGAAGTTCTCAAAACTTGGTCTCCTCCTGGGGAAACTGAACAGTTAGATTCCTCCAATCCCTCCTCACCAGCTTCTTTGCCCGACCATACTCCAGCGTGTCACCCCAACGACAAAGCGCAGGAGAACATATGGTCAACACGATTTCAGGCATTCATGCAGGATGCCTTTTCCCAGTTCATGGCTTCTAAGGGGCAAGTGGCCTTTCACACTCCCCATAAGGGACGAACTAGGCCGCCCCCTACCAACATTTCTGAGACCTCCTCTCAATTAGGAGAGGGCGACTCATTAGACCTTGATATGTCAGACATGCCCCTGTCGGAGGATGAGGAGACCACACCCGAGCAGGCGACGAGCTCTGGCCTCTTTAACCCAGCGCTCCTAAAATCACTCCTGATAAAGGCAGTCTCCACGGTCAGCCTGACATCAGTACAGGAGGAGAAGCCCTCTACAAGCAAGGAGGCCAATCCTTTATTTGCCAAAAAGGTCCCACAGGATAAGTACATTCCATGTCCGGAGGTCTTCATGACCACGGTAGAGGAACAATGGTCCTCACTTGCAAGCCCACCGGCGCCCAATAGCGTGGAAAGAAAGCTTTTCAATCTCTCTCCCTCCTTCTCGAGCATGTTAGAGGTTCCCACGGTAAATAACCCTTTGATCTCATTATTTTCTACCTGCGCGATTCCAGGAGACATGGCGGAGGTCTTGAAACCTGAGGAAAAGAAATTTGAACACTCCCTCTGCCGCTCCCATATGGCTGCAGCCTGGGCGGCCACTTCATCATCATTCTTCGCGAGGGCCTGTATTATGTGGCTGAGGGAACTGCAAAGCACGGTGCCTCCAGATCAGGTCAGAGTACACCAGACATTGGCCAAGCTCCTCGTGGCCTCTCAGTTCATAGCTGACGCTTCGCTGTATGCAACAAAGTACGCGGCAAGATCCATTGCGGCCACAGTGGCCTCGCGTAGACTACTGTGGCTCAAAAATTGGAAGACAGACCTGAGGTCCAAGTGGCGTCTCTCGACGTCCAAATACAGCGGGGCATCCCTATTTGGGTCCATACTGGACCCCCATGTCAGTGAAGGCAGAGACAAGAGGAAGATATTAGTACACCCATCAAATTTGATAGGAGAATCAGTCAGGACTTCCGGAGACAGGGCTCCCACCCAGGAAGCCCCTGGGAATGGAGGCAGCCCTTTCGGTCAGGGCAATCCTGGGACTGGCCCAGAGGCTCGCGGTCCTTCTACCCGAGACAGGATCGACCCCAGGATCGCCAAAGCACAGGAGCCAGAGGCCAGTTTCAGTCCAGACGACCATATAGGGGATCGGGAGGCAGGTCCTTTAAGCGCACCAAGTGACGCCAAACAGGACACTCCCATAGGGGGTCGGTTAGGAAATTTCATTGAGGTCTGGGAGCAGACCACTACCGACTCCTGGGTCCTGGAAACGATCAGACATGGTCTGACCTTAGACTTTTGTTCTCCCCCACCAAGCCGGTTCATCAGATGTCCCATCTCCAAAAAGGTACACAAGGCAAGGCTGTTAACTTTGGCCATAGCGCACCTTCTGTCAATTCAAGCCATAGAGAGGGTTCCAAAGGGAGAGGAAGGAAGAGGATTTTATTCCATCCTCTTCGTTATCCCGAAGACATCAGGAGGATGGAGAGCAATATTGGATCTGAAGGGCCTGAATTATTACATAAAATACAGGAGGTTCAAGATGCACTCCTTGAAATCCATCCTAGCCAGCATCAGGGAAGACGATCTGCTATCCTCAATAGATCTAACAGAGGCGTACCTACACATTCCCATTCATCCCAGTTACCGAAAATTCCTCAGATTTACCTACGCGGGCCGGCATTACCAATACAGGGCCCTACCCTTCGGGCTATCCTCAGCGCCAAGGGTATTTACCAAGATCCTAGCAGTAATAGCGGCCCATCTCAGGCTGATGCCAGTTCGCGTACAGTCTTATCTGGACGACATCCTGATTCAGTCCAGATCTCAGGAACAAGCAAAGGCAGATCTCAACACCACAATCCGAACCCTACAGGGGCATGGATTCTCGGTCAATCTAGCCAAGAGTCATCTTACTCCCTCAAGGAGACTGCAGCACCTAGGCGCAGTGATAGACTCGTCACAGTGCAGGGTATACCTTTCCCAGGAACGACAAATCAGCATATCCAAGCTAATTCACCAAATTCAGAGAATCAGGAGAGTGCCCTTGATACAGCTCTCGAAACTCCTGGGAAAGATGATATCTTGCATGGGCATCACACCATGGGCAAGGCTCCATTTGAGGGAGTTGCAGTGGTTCCTCCTACCCTACCAGAGGAGAAATCTCAGCACCTCCAACAGGAAGGTCTTGGTACCAGTACAGGTGATGAGATCACTGAAATGGTGGACATCCCCCAAGATACTCAAGGGGAACATATTCAAGGAACCAAACAGGGTCACGCTCACGACAGACGCGAGCCTGTTTGGATGGGGAGCCCACCTGGGAACCCAGATAGCACAGGGCCAGTGGGACCAGAAGGACCTGTCACACAGCATCAATTGGCTAGAGCTCCGGGCCATCCACCTGGCCCTACGCCATTTCTCACATCTAGTAACAGGGAGACACGTCCTCGTGTTAATGGACAATGTAGCAGCCAAGGCCCATGTAAACAAGGAAGGGGGAACGCGATCAGCGGAACTTATGAAGGAGGCATTAGCTCTGGCTCGGTGGGCAGAGACCAACGTGAGTTCCATCAAAGCGGAACACATCTCGGGGGAGGCAAACACCTAGGCAGACTCCCTGAGCAGAGCCAAGGTGGACCAGTCAGAATGGTGCCTGGATCCGGCTCTGTTCGAGGAGATCTCCTGGAGATTCGGGCAACCGCACCTGGACCTATTTGCCAACCACAAGAACACACAACTCCCCAGGTTCTTCTCCAGATTCCCGTCTCCGGGGTCGGAGGGAACGGATGCTCTCAGGTGTCGGTGGCCAGCGCATCTCCTGTACGCCTTCCCACCGTTGCCCTTAACACCGGCGACCATACGCAAACTGATCCTGGAAGGCGCAGAGATAGTCTGCATTGCCCCGCATTGGCCATGGCGCCCGTGGTTTGCCGACCTCGTGGACCTTTCGATATCACCCCCGTGGAGGATTCCCCC